CAGCAGGTCTGGCAACATCTGTGAAGGAAAAAACAGAGTTAACGTTTCGGGTCCGGTGACCCTTCCTCAGAACGTTAACTCTGTTTTGTCCTTCACAGATGCTGCCAGACCTGCTGAGCTTTTCCAGCAACTTCTGTTTTTGTTCAACATTATAAGCTCTCCGGCCTCTCAGAACCCCATCTTGGAGCCAAGAGCTCGGAGCGTGAAACCAGCTGGCTACAATCAGCGGTAGGGCTTACTCAAAACTCTCACCTTCTGCTTCTGCAGCAGGCTCTGTGCCATGTCCAGGGACTTGCCATAGTTTGATGATGTGCTGCTTGGAATGTGCTCAGCAATCCACTTCAACTCCAGGTCACTGTGGTGGTAGAACTCATGCAGAGCCACTGTTGCTTCTAGAACCTTCCTCCTGTGCTCCAGGGGCTTCTGGAGCGATTCAAACCTATGGCAGAAAGGGTAGAGCAGAACCAAGAGCCCAAAATTAACTTGATGAACTTTCCAGAAGGAGGGGCAGGTGGTTGAATGAGGGAGCAGAACTGCAGATGTATATTGAGCAGAGGACAGACTGTGTTGTTCAGTGAATGAGGTGTAGGGGAGTGGGAAGCCCAATGGTTGGGTTTACAGTGGGATTCTCACTGGCGGTGGGCGGGGATTGGGCACTTTGCGGACTTCAGCCAGCTCAGGGAGCTCCGTGGATGCCAGGCACCAGCAACTGTCCCCTCACATTGCCCCACTGTCTATCCGCCTCCCCCACTCTACCCAGAGAAAACACCAGCCTCACCAGTCCAGGTGTTTCTGAGTCTGCTCCAGTATCCTCTGAGAGTCAAAGTGATCCGTTGCCACCTTCTGGGCCCGGTTGACAATGCCGTTCATTTTCTCCGCGAGCTCATGCATGTCGCATTCCAGCCACTTGTGCTCTTTCAGGAGGAGTCTGCTGGAGCGCAGGTCATGGCCTGTGTTGGGATTCTGCAACATCTTCTCGATCTTTTCAAGCTTTGTTTTGGCATCCTAGAGAGAGTGAGTGAGTGACAGCGAGAGGAAATCAACTCACCGCTGCCAGAACCGCAGCAACATTAACCAGCCAGATTCTGCATCAGAGAATGCAGCACAGTTCCCATCAACTGGACAACAAATGGATTGGGTCACTTCTGACATTACTGACAATTACACAGTTTCATGTTACAGTTGTGTCCCCTCTCCCGCTGCAGTGCTGGTCAGAGGGCTGAACTGTTGGAGGAGCAGTACTGAAGGAGTGCTGCACAGTCGGAGGTGCCATCTTTTTCAGGTAAGACATTAAACTGTCTGTCATTGCGAATAGATGTAAAAGATCCAATGGTACCATTTAAAGAGCAGGGAGGTCTATTGGAATCTTGGTTAATATTTATCCCTCAATCGACACTGACCTAAAAAGTTATCTGACGCTATTTTAAGGGGAAAAAAACCTCACTTTTGTCTTTGTATAAAGACTCTAAAGACATTGCCATGTCCCCATGTACTGTTAAGTCAATAATGGAATGAACAGGCAGTATTTCTACGCGTGTCTCATGTGGGTCACCCAGAAGACAGACAAGTCCACCACTCCTGCCCAAACCTTGCCCAGAAGGCGTCCCGTTCAGCCTAAGAGACAGTGCCCAATAATCATGATGGGCACAGTACCTGTGCCCCCATCTGAAACAGCTTCACACCTGTAGTAGCTCCATGAGTTGCTCCTGTTGGCCAGCTTGCCTCATTTTGTCCCCACGCTCCACCAGCTTATTGCAGAGCTTCATCCACCTCTCCTTTAATGTCGTCAGGCAGGATTGGATATTGTCCCTGGCATAATGGTTCTCCTCGATCAGGTCGTTGCCTGCCTGATGGAGAAAGGGCAGATGTAACACTTCCCTGACAGAGTATCATTAAACACTTCAACCATCCTCACTACAAGGTGAGGTTATATTTCTTGCGATAGAATCAGAGAAGCAGGCAGGTGCAGGAGGAGGTTGTTTGCTCATCATGAATATTTGGGAGCCAGGAATATTATTCCAAGTCTTGTCTGAACCCAATCACTCCATAATCCCAAGTGCCAACTTGTCCCTGAAGCTCACCCAGCCTTATTACAGAAATCTAACAGTGCAGGGCAGGCCATTCAGTCCATTGTGTCTACACTAGCTCTTAGAGCATTATGACTTGGTGCCGTTCTCCACACTTTCCCTTTAACCCTGTACCTGGTTCCTATTTAAATACCATTCAATACCCTGTTGCATGTTTCAATTGAACCTACCTCCAGCACACTTCAGGCAGCACGGTCTGAGTCCTTATTACTCCCTGTGTGAAAAAGGCTTGTTCTCACATCACCCTTTAGTTTTTAGCAGAAGTGTGTGCTATCTACAACATGCACTGCAGAAATTTGCTAAAGATCCTTAGACAGCACCATCCAACTTGTACCATCTAGAAGGACAAGGGCAGCACATGCATGGGAACATGTTCAGCTTCAAGCACCTTCCAAACTCTCTGACGAGAAAACAGTCATTCATTGTCATTGGGTTAAGATCCTGGAATTTCCTCCCTAACAGCATTGTAGGTCTACCAACAACACATGGACTGCGACAGTTCAAGAAGGAAGCTCACCATCTCATGGGTAACTAGGGACAGGCAAAAGATGTTGGCCCAGCCAGTGACATCCACGTCCCAGAAACAAATTGAAAGAAATACATTATCTGCACTAATCTCCTGTTTCTACACTTACGATCACTTACTACTGGGGAATAATCCTGATAACACCTTTGAGGTCCTGTTTTTAACATTTCAATGATTTTATTATTCTCGTGAGATCTGACCTTAGCCCTCACTGTCTCATTGGCAGCCGGTCAGGTGCAACTCCAGGACTGTAGCTATGATCCTATAAATAACCTGATTGCTGCTAGAGGCAGAGAAATGAGACTGTTCCCACTGTTCCCAGCACAGCACAGAAAGCAACACATGGAAGTTCTTCCTTGTCGTCCCAACTAGGGGAATATCACCTCTGACGTACGCGTGTGTGTGTGTGTGTGTGTGTGTGTGCGTGTGTGTGTGCGCCAGTGTTGGACTGGGGTGAACATGGTCAGAAGTCACACGACACCAGGTTATAGTCCAACAGGTTTATTTGAAATCACAAGCTTTCGGAGTGCTGCCCCTTCATCAGGTGATTTTAAATAAACCTGTTGGACTATAACCTGGTGTCGTGTGACTTGTGTGTAGGTGGGTTGTGCATGTGATTAAGAGTGTATGTTTGTGTGTATGCATCTGTGTCTGTAACTGCCTGTCACTGTGTGCATCTGTACTCATTAATAAAGCTGTTTCTGTTTGTGGGTGAGTGCAATAAGACCGGAAAATCCTGGAGAAACTCAGCAGGTCTGGCACCAGCTGTGGAGACAGAAAGAGGGGAAAGGTTTCAAGTGTAATGTGACTCTTCAGAAGACCCTGATATCCCGGTATCTCTCAATGCAATTACCCCACTGACCCCAATACGCCAATATCACACAGTGCAGTTACCCCATTGTCCCTGACGCCTCAGTGTCACCCAGTGTCTCTCTGACAGGCCGTATTGTGAGCATCACATTGCGGTTGGACACAATATATTGCACCCCTCACTGTGTGGTTTTGCTAGGAAGCTGGGCCCGCACTGCACGTTTTCTTGGGAGTTTCTGGGAGACCCGTTGGCAGGAGCCCGTGTTTTCAGGAAGTTAACCTGACCGCAGCAGCTGTACCTTGCTCAGGTCGTCCACTCGCACTTCATTTGCCATCACCTCCTTCTCCACAGCCTCATGCCTCTTCAGTTTGCGCAGGATGTTCGTCGGGTCTCGGTACGACTCATCCGAGGCAAGCTTGAATTTTTCATCAATCCACATCAGGAGCTCAGCTACGTCTCTGTTAAACTCCTAGAAGGATAGAAATGAGAGAAGAAAATAGCGTTATGGCCTAGTCAGACTCTTCAAATATTGTGTTCAGGCTTTACCACTTCAAGGAGTGCAGCTGTAAATCACCAGGATGCTACCAGGACTCAAATTGTTCAGTTCTGAGGACAGGCTACAACTTGCTAGCCTTGTCGTTCCGCGAGTTTAGAAGCCGGAGGGAGTGATCTTTCAAAATGACGAATGATTTGATAATGTCGTCAGTGAGAAGCTGTTTTCTCTGGTGGGGCAGTTCAGACCAAAGTGGTCAAACATCACCACTAGAGCCAGGCCGTTCAATGGTGGCGTCAGGAGGCACTTTTTAACAGAAAGGATTGAGGATGTCTAAACTCTGCTTCCCCCAAAAAAGGCTGGTGAGGCTGAGAGACCATTTCAAAAGGGAGATGTTTCCTCACTGAGTATTTGGATAAATGGAAGTCAGGTGAGTCATGCCCAGAAATTGTCCAGTCAAATACCAGGATAGGTCTAAAGGGCTGACTGGCCTATGCGCCAATTTCCTCATTTAAGTTACAATTTAATTGCCCCAATCAGCGAGTCTGTGGACAATGCTGACCATATCCACCAGTTTCAATTCATCTATCTCTTAAGGGTGTGGCAAACCTTCACAATCTCTCTGCTGAGCCATTGCTTCTCGATAGTAACTGGGCCTGGGCTCCTCAGCTTTTCCTCACAGCTTAAATGTCATCAGCTTGTCATCAAATTTGGTTTCCTTTCTTACCTTGCACCCATCCAACAACTCTCCTTGCTTCTTGTGGTACAGTGACTCCGTAGATTGTACCCAGTATTACCAAGTGAGGAGGACCGCTACCCAGATGTACACCCAGTAACTCCATGAGTGGGGCATCGTGCCTAAAATTGTAGCCTATGGTGTGAGGCATTGATGCCCAGAAATAGACTGAAATCTCTGGATCATTGGGCCTTCTACAGACTCAGTGTCCCGATATTTGTTCTCTGTGTCTTGGCTTTCCTGACTGATTCTCCAAATTATTTACACCGCTCAGCTCTCTATTGAGATGACTGCTACCCTTAATCCACACCATAATGGTGACTACCCTTTGAGAAGAGAAGTGATTCAAAGACTGTGAAGTACCAAGAGACATATGGAAATTCTGAATGGTCTCAAATTAATTCTTTGTTAATGAGTGAAACATCAAGCAGTCGGAATGGATAAAGACCTGGAGCTTCTTTGAGGCGAGCAGTCTGTTCCTCCTGTAGTTGCTACTCCGATTGAGATCGTTCCACTTGTCACTGATCACAGACACCCTTTTCCGGATTCTAGACAGACAGAGAAACATTACTCATAGCTGCAAACCTGCCTGGATGGGTCAGGGATGTCCACAGGACCTGTGTTCAATGCAAGCCATTTCTTTCCCATGACATGGTCCCAGTAATAATACAAAAACAACATGCATTTGCATTGTGTCTATAATGACCTCAGGGCATGCTGCCAGATTGTTTTACAACCCCCGAAATGTCACTGTCATTTCCACTGACAATATTCTGCCCAGGAATGCAAGCTCCTGCCCTGTGAGGTAAAATGCTCTTTGAGATATTGAGAGGTGGCTGAAATAGGAGCAGGCTTAAAGAGGTCAATTACCTACTCCTGCTCCTAGCTCTTAAGTTCTAAGAGTTGAAGCCTGAGATAAGCTCACCAATGCATTGACCCTACAAAAGCGGATACAGACAATCACACATTAGTGCAGATCTGTCAATGTGAAGGCTGCTTTAATAGTTATGGACAGTATATAAGGCTGGATAACAGTGGATATAATTACAAACATAGGATGGGTCCACTTTCTTGAAGAAAGGGCCAATTTAAGAAGAGTTCTGGCAAGAAAACACAGAATAGAAGTATGAATTAGTAAGTAATTAATTAAGTAATTATAAAGTAACAGATATACCAGGATGCTGCCGGGAATGTGGATGAGAGTTATAAGGAGAGGCTAGTTAAGCTGGGATTTTTTTTCACTTGAGCATAGGAGGTTGAGGGGTGACCTTAGAGAGGTTTATAAATCCATCAAGGGTATAGATAAAGTGAATGGCAGGTTCTTTTCCCTCGGGTGGGGAATTTCGAGACTAGGGGGGATATTTTTAAGGTGAGAGGAAAAAGATTTAAAAAAGACATGAGCGTGGTTTGTGTGTGGAATGAACTTCCAGAGGAAGTGGTGGATGCGGGTACAGTTACAGCATTTAAAAGACATGTGGATGAGTACATAAATAGGAAAGGTTTGGAGGGATATGGGCCAAGCGCAGGCAGATGACGAGTCCAGTTTGGGAACATGGTTGGCGGGGTCGGGTTGGAACAAAGGGTCTGTTTCTGTGCTGTATGACTCTATGAATGACTTCAGGGGACCGTGTGGTGTTGGAGTAAGCTAACAAGATGCACAGCCTAGAAATGGCAGTAGAGGTATCATAGTAACTAAAACCAGCCTGTTCACCTTGACAGGCATTTCAAATCCACTCACAGACCATAAGAGGCAAAATCAATAGACGGGAAATTAACGGGCAAGGTACTATGAGTTTCAAAGGCTCTTGTAAGGCCTGGTTAGCAGCACAGGGTGTCTGCAAATTTCACTTGAGGGGTACAAACGCCACCCTAGGGTTAGCCTGGAGGTTACCAGCACAAGGGTGAAAGCGGATTGTGCCCAGGATTCTTCTTCACTGACTCTACTCACCATTGATTCACTGTGCACCTCTTCCACACTTTCACCCAAGACCCTGCTCCTCCCTCTGTTCTGAGCTACACCTACAAAAGTACTGGGTAGTTTGCTCAATCTTCTCCAAGGATTAAGAAAGGAATGAAACCACATAATTCAAACATTGACATTGCTGGGTGGCGGGGCCTGTGACATCAACAACTGTGATCTCGTTTTTTTTTAATTATTGCTTACTTGAGCTGAAGCTGTTCCAGGAGTATTTAATAACTATGTTACTTCAGCAGTATGTCACAATCTGCATTGCTCCAGGACTATTTAATAAATTATATTGTTCCAGGAGTATTTAATAAACTGCACTACTTCAGAAGTATTTAACAAGCTGTATTGCTTCAGGAGTATTTAATGATTAGTATTGTTCCAGGAATATTAGATAAGCGGTTTTATTTCAGAGTATTTAATAAGATTTATTATTTCAGAAGAATTTAATAAATTGTATTTCTTCAGGACTAAACTGTACTACTTCAGGATTATTTAATAAACTGTACTGTTGGATGAAATCCGTGAATCCTTTTGTTGTTGGAGAACAGATCTGGGGTAAAATCAGTGACCTAATGTTTTTGTTCACTGCATTGGGCTTGTTACTAAAAGCTGACCTCTATGCGAATGACAGGAAAGAGGTCACAGGGCCAACTAGAAGTAATCGAAGATATGAAAACTAAAGGAAAAGTTAAACCGGTATCTGAGCCTTTGCTGGGAGGTGAAACTCTGAATCCAAAAATAACAGGGAAATCATGTAGGTTAGAATGAGGGCGGAAATGGGAATGACATGAAAAAAGCTGTTGTTTATAAATATAAATTGTACAACTATAAGTAATAGTTAAAGAAAGGGCAGGACTAATTAGAGTTCAGAAAGAAAACATTCTTGTGAAGGGACAGGGCATAGCCGAGGTACTAAGTGAGTACTTTGTAACTACCATCACTAAAGAGGAGGGGGCTGTCAGTGCAACATGAACTGAGGAGGTAGTTCATTGTGGTAACGATAGAGAATAGTGAGAGCTGTGGCTCGGTCGCTATCACGCTTGCTTGGTCACACCCCAGTGTAGTATGGAGGCAGTACTGCACCACTGTAGGTCCTATCATTTCAGATGAGATGTTAAACCAAGGCTGCATCCGCCTGTTCAGACGGATGAACACCGTGCAATGTACAGCAACCATCCATCAGTATAGAAAGCAATAGGAAGCAAGAACGAGACATGCTTTGGGTTTGGTCTCTGTCTGGTCCTGACACTTTGCAATCAAGTTACATTAAGAATAATCTTGAACTTGCAGACTTCAGCAGCATAAATCTCTGCTTCAGAATGCACATATCGCAGATCTGGATGTTAGCAAGTCAGTTACTAAGAGGCCAATACGTACATGTTAGCGTAGTTGCTGTTTTGGGAGAGTCTGGAGGCTTTATCCTGCAGCCCCCGAATTCTCTGGTCCGTTAGCTTCAGCACATTCTCAAAGTCTTCGTGCCTCTTCAGTAGGCTGCTGACAGAGTCCACATTGTCCTTTAAAGTAATTCATACTGTTAGAGATCTCAGAGCTCAGATTTAAGACCCGCTCTCACTTCAACAGCAGTGTGGCTGCAGTAGGAGCACCTTCACCTCAGGGTCTGAGGCCTAGAGCATTGAAGGCATTGCCTGGGCTGGCACTCCATTGAAGAAGTGCTGCACAATCTCAGATGGGAGGAAACCAAGGCTCCGAGTGCCTTGTTAAATGGATGTAAAAGATGCTAGATCGCTACTTGAAAGAAGAGCAGGGGAGTTCAACTGGTGTCTTGTCAGATATCCCCCAGCCAATATCACACAAGCTGTTTATTTCATCATTATCACATTGTGGCAGCCTTGTGTTCCTACATTACAAATCTGTGATGGTACTGTGCCTTTAAGTGACGTGTTCTGTGCTGTTTCTGTTGCAGAGGGCTGTTGTCAGTGGTGCAGAAATGTCTCCCTCAGACAGGCTGTCAGTAAAACAGCTCTGAGTTCTCCCTGGGTGTTTTTTTTAAGAATTATTAGTGGCTGAGGTACAGCTCACAAAGACCCAGAAGGACTTTAGTTTTCCTTTTGGTTAGTTGGTGGGTTTTTGCTGGCTGCTGGAGATGAAAGCTTGGCTTCTCTGCTGCTGGAGTAAAATCCTGGCAGAGAGGCTTCCTCTTAAAAATCAAAAGGGGCAGATTGTTTCTTTCAGTGGTTCTCCTTACAGGACTGGAGAGAGACAGCCAGCCCGTGAGAATAATAACCATGTTGTTGAATTGCCTTTGCCCTGGGTGTGTTAATGGGATGCTGCCAATATTGGAATAGTTGAAAAAGACTGTGGAAGTTACTGTTCAAAGTCTTTCTGTTCCATGTGACCTGTGAATACTCAGGCTGACAGCTCAAGGAATCCAAAGCCCATGGTTCATGAGCTGCTGTCCTAGGCTGTGCTGAGACAGCTGCATGCTCCTGGCTGACCCCATGTTTTGTGATTCTCTCCCCGCCATCAGCTCAAGATCTCACTTACCCCTGTTTGGTGAGAACTTGCCCCCAACACCTCATTGTCACATGACAAACCCAACCCTCCCACTCCCCCACTGCCTCATGGGCATGCTCAGGCCAGCTCATGGAGGGTGAGGGGGGAGACGAGAACAAACTTTCAAAGGGGGTCGGGTTGTTAGAGGTGGCCAATGGAAGAGGCCACAAGGTCCCTTCAGTTGGGTGAAATGGTTAGGGAGGGTCATCAATCCAGAACCATATTCTCTGGAGAGGGAAGGTGGGGGTAAGGCAAGGTGGGAGAGGCAGGATGGGGTGAGGGGGAGGGATTCAGGGGAAGGGTGAGGGAAGGGGGCGAAGGGGGTAAGGGACAGGGGCAAAAGGAAGGGGTGAGGGAAGAGGCAAGGGAAGGGGGCACGACAGTACTGGTAGAACACTGCTTCCTTACCCTGGTGCATCATTCCTCTGGACTTACTACAAACATGATTATCACTCTGATTTAGGCAGTACGTAGAGTTTGTTAATAATAATTGGGCTAACAGATAATTCCAGCTCAATTCCTTCAGCAGATGTTATCCTATTGTCTCTTCCTTGCTGCCCGAACCCATTGAAAATCAAATCAAGTCACATTGCCCTGGGGTAAGTATAGCATTCCTCCTTCATTTGGAGGACATCAATGATCCAGCTGGAGTTTTACAAAGAAGCAACCTTTAATTCATTCCATCAATCCACAAACGCTCAGATTTATCAGCAATGTGGGATAAAATGCTCAGAATCTCCATGTTTACAAATAACATTGTACGCGAACCCAATGAGATCACGGCTGATCCCTTCCACTTGGCTGACTCCCCCCAGTCCACCCTCAGGACAGTGCAATTACCCCGAGATGGTTGATCTTCAGGAAGGCTTCATGACCAGCCAGAGTCGCCTCAATGCGATCAGCCTCCCGGTTGAACTGCTGCAACTCCAGCCCTTCCTGCAGCCTTGCGTTCCGTTCCTTCCACGCAGCCTCCAGCTCGGCCTGCACTGCCATCACTTTCTGCATGGTGTGAGAGACCTCGCCAGCACAGTTCCCCTTCATCAGCCGATCTCCCAGTTCGCGCAGCTTCTTGAACCTTTCACAAAACACAGAGTTGCGTTTGAACTCCAAGCCGGCACTCCCCGCAATCACAAAGCCGTTTTAGCCACCAGCTTCACTTCCCCACCCCCAGTGTCACACTTCGATGCCAACACTTTCTCGCCAACCTGATAACCGCCCGATCCTCTGATCTCCTGAGCTTTATTTACGGACAGACGTTGGCACTGAGGGATCTACCAGGTCTGCCAGGCTATGGCTCAATCGGTAGTAGGTATTTCTTAAAGAAGATTGAGAAGTGTTGAACTCCAGAGGAGTTTCATCATTCACTGGAGGCTAATGTGAAGGCGCAATCAGCAATTTGGAAGGTAAATGGTACACCAGTCGTTTTTTTTGGCAAGGAGGTGTCAGTGCAGGAATAAAGTGTCTTGCTTCAATTGTATAGAAGCTTGGTTAGGCTGCACCTGGGTTTACTGTATGCAGTTCTGGGCCTCTTGCCGAATGATACGTTGATCGTAGAGGGAATACAGTGGAGACCGATTCCCGGGATGGTAGGACTGCGCTGTCAGGAGGGACTGAACAGGACTGCGCCAGGATTCTCTGGAGTTTAAAAGAACACAAAGTGACCCCATTGAAACTTACAACATTCTTAAAATAGATTGGTGGATGGATGTTGATAAATGTGTTTCCCCTGGCTTGGAGATTGGAGGTGGGGTGTGGTGGGGTGGGGTGGGATGGTGAGGCATCCTAGAACCAGGGGACACAGTAAGAAGAAAGGCACACAGGGTTGAGATAGCACTTTCTTGACTCAGGGCTTGGTGAACCTTTGGAAAACTCTACCTGTGGCTGTGGAAGCTTGATCTTGGAGTAAGTTCAAGACAGAAGTCAATCCATTTCTAGTTACTGAAGATGTCAGGGGTCTGAGGGTGGCACCAGATTATAGCATTGAGGTAGATAATCGGTCATGATCTAGAACGGCATTGCAGGCTCAAGGGGCTGAAGAGCCTCCTCCTGTTCCTGTGCACCTACTTCCTCAGTAATAAATCCCCAGTGCTAACTCAAGATACTAGCCATCAAAGATTTGCAGCGACAGAAAGCGACCATTCGGTCCATCATTTCTTGCGCTGGTTTGGATTTGGGAAAGTTTAGGTCTGGTCAGCTCGGGTTCCAGCTTCCGCAGAGCCAAGACTTTCAGGGACGTGGTTGGCTCTAGAGACGGTACAAGAGCACAGGAAGTCCAGGATCAAGGTCTAACACGGAGAAGTGCCTTGGAGTGGAGGAGGAGGTGAGTTGACATGCAAGAGTGAGGGTAATAAAACATGGCCTACTGGAAAAAACAATAACTGTTCACAAGTAAGAGTATGGGGTGTGGGGGGGAAGATGTATTTCAAGGAGGTGTAAAAGCAAGTGGAGTTCCCACAACAATTTCTTGAAGCTGGAGAATTCTGGTCACCCATCTACAGGAAGGATGTCGTTAACCTTGAGAGGGTGCAGAAAAAATTTACTAGAATGTTACCAAGACGAGAAGGTTTGACCTACAGGGAGAGGCTGAATAGGCTGAGGCTTTTTCCCAAGAGTTTTGGAGGCTGAGGGATAACCTTGTAGAGGTTTATAAAATCATGAGGGGCAAGGATAGGGTAAATGAGCCAAATGCTAGCAAATGGGAGGAAATCAGACTGGGATGTCTGGTTGGCGTGAACAAGTTGAATTGAAGGGTCTGTTTCCATGCCGGAAATGGAACAACAAATGATGACAACAAATTAAGTTGCTTATAGTGAATGCCAGCACATGGAGGAGGGTACTAGTTGGGGAGTTGGAGATTCTCTGGAGTTGTCTTGCTGAGGGATGGAGTTGGAGAGGGAGTGGACATTCAACAACAACCTCCATTCATATAACCGCACATGAATCTTTCTTTGCCCCTCAGTGGTACCAGATGCGAGCAGTAAGAGGGACGACTCTTCTCTGGGTTTTGTCTTACTTGATTTTCTGCGCATTGATCTCCAGCAGCAGATCATTGTGTTCCTTGAGAAGGTTTTCAGCAGAGCCCACATCGAATCCCATCTCCTTGCTGTTCAGCTTGTCCTTCATGTTTCCAGCCCACAGGAGAAGCTCCTTGCTCTCCTGGCTGTACAGCTGCTGGTTGTGAGCGTTCGCCAGGAACTGCCTTCTCCTTGAGGCCTGACCCTTCACCTTGTGCAGCAGTGCTTCCATCTGGTGAACCTGCTCCATGATCGCAGCGCTCTCTGCGCGATTGGTGTCCTTAATCCTGCAACATCGTTTAGATACAAGGAGAGCACAACACTATCAGCCACAGATATCCTCACATCACATCACATCACAGTGCAAGTCGCAGGCTGGGCCTAAAACAGAGTGTGTGGTTGTGACAGACAGCAAACTTTTTATTAGTATGCTGGCTGATCAAATATTCTGGATAATCAAGAGGAACGCATAACCGCAGCAAACCCTGACTGACACGAACCTTCGAAGCATCAACATCCCTTGAAAAATCCATCTAAAAACATCAACACACCTCCTAAACCTGCTCATTATCTGACAATTTTAATGTCGCTGACATATTTCAATTTTCAGGTTGAGCATGAATACCACTTTCGCTTACATTTGCTGCTCATGGTAGTTTTTGGAGTTTCCAAGACAGCAGATGGGCAAAAGTTTTTTTTTGCAGCAAGCCCACAGCACTTCTGATCAGGGGGTTGGAATACAAATTTACCGGCAGACAGCCTTCTCTCTCAACCTCAACTGACTACTTGGACATCGCGGTAGATCGCGGCATTGGAGATGCATACTTTTTCCCGGCTTATCGAGAGTGCCAGTTGAAATAAAGTTTGCTGTGCTGGAGTCATTCAAATCAGATACAGCCATCAGTTTGGGACTGAAGGGTGCACCCTGCAGAAACCACCCACTTTCAGCATTCTGAGGAAATCTGAAAGACCAGATGTCAGTGGGAGAGGATTCAAACCCCGGCGCAAGTCAGAAGGGAGGTCACACACAGAGCTTCCTCAACCAGGCAATAGTCAAGAGGAGGAACAGACAGAGAATCAAGGGACACTCTAAGTGGTTAAGGTGGTACACAGATGAGAGAGAAGATGAGGACGATAAAGTCAGACGTGGGGAGGCGAGATTAAAATAACAAAACACATTGAGACTGATTCTGCTTCTGGTATTTAAGCAGGACGACATCTGTTTGATTCTGTATTCTACCCAACCTAGGAGAGTTTGATGTCAAAGTGGAAAGTGAGTAAGCTTCACTCTGTATTGAGCAGAGGTGTTTGATTGGGACAACGTGGAGTAAACTTTACTCAGTGCTGTACCTGCACTCGGGAGTGTTTCATGGGGACAGTGCAGAGAGGAGTTTGGAGTAAATCTAACACTGTGCTGTCCCTGGCCTGGGAGAGTTTGATGAGGATGAGTGTAGAGGAAGCCTCACTCTGTATTTAACCCTGTACAGTACCTGTCCTGGTGGAGTTTGATGGGGACAGTGTAGAGGGAGCTTTAATGTATGTGCACCATTTGATGTCGATTGCTTGTAATTCTAAGTGTGGATTCTGCAAAGGAAGATCCCTCTCTTCGATGAATGCCAAAAGCAGAAAAGAAGTACAATACTGACAAGGGGCTAATAATCCTCATTAAGAGGTACATACGAGTGAGCCATTTTGGTCAGGTATTCAATTCGGGTTTCCAGCGCTTGGATCTCCCGCTCAGATACTACTTGCTTACGCCTCTCTTCATCCACGCTCTTCATGCTGTTGCTTATCTCCGTGTTGGGGAGCAGGGTCAATTTCTCCTGGAGCAGGGCTGTTGTGTCCTGGCATTTCTGGAGAAACGACTTGACATCCGCTGTGCCGATCAGCTCTCTCCCCTTCTCCTCTTTCAGGACCAGCATATGTGCCCACCTACAAAATAAATTGTGTGAATTTTGAAACCAAGTTCTCACCTTAAAAATCTGCTGCTACCAATTCAACCTCCTTTACTACTGTCCTTTAGCCCACAGGTTACTCTAGACTCACAGCAATATGGTTTACACTTAACTGACTTGTGGGCAAACTACTCAGCTATAGGGCAATTGGGGAAATGTGCCAATTGCCAATGACACTCACATCCCATGAAAGAATAAAGAGGCAGACATTGAGAGGATGTTTGTTCTGGTTGGACATTCTGGAACTAGTTTAAAATTAAGGTTTAAGGTAGAGATGACAAATTTCTTCTCTCAGAGGGTCACCAATCTTTGAAATTCTGTCTCACAGTGATCTAGCTAGCTTATCAAACATTGTTGAGGTTGAAACGAAAACAGAAATTGCTGAGAAAACTCAGCATGTTTGGTAGCATCTGTGGAGAGAGAGAGAGAAAGAGAGAGAGAGACAGAGGTTAATGTTTAGAGTCTGGTGACTCTTCATCAGAATGATCAAAGCTGAGTCTGATAGAGTTCTTTCAGAGATAGTAGGAACTGCAGATGCTGGAGAATCGGAGATAACAAGGTGTAGAGCTGGATGAACACAGCAGGCCAAGCAGCATCAGAGGAGCAGGAAAGCTGACGTTTCGGGTCTCGACCCTTCTTCAGAAAACTTTCTGAAGAAGGGTCTAGGCCCGAAACGTCAGCTTTCCTGCTCCTCTGATGCTGCTTGGCCTGCTGTGTTCATCCAGCTCTACACCTTGTTATCTCTGATAGAGTTCTGATTTACAGACAAGGTTATGACGGTCAGGCAGGTACATTTAACTAAATTTAATCAAATTGTGGATGTGGGGGACAGGAATCTGACCCTTGTGAATTGAAGTCAAAGCCTGGAAGTCAGAAATGATGCAGCACTGAGCTGTGCTCAAAGGGGAGATGCTTTGAGGTTATTTGCATGAAGGGGAACAGAAAGATAAGCAGAGCCACAGCTCCCCACGGACAATGAAGGAGTTAGAGAGCAGGATGAAGCAGAAAAAGGAGGTTGGGAAGCTTTTAGAAAGATTAATTTGGGAGAAAATCAAGAGTCACTGGGACGAGCAGGGGCAACTTGGATTTCTTTAGAGGAACTCGTGCCAGACTAATACAAAATCCGAATGCCATGGATGCCAAAAATCCAAAACAAAGACAGAGGATTGTAGAAATACTCAGCAGGACTGGCAGCTCCTACAAAGAGGTAAACAAAGTTAAATCGGAGAATTGTTACAGTGCAGAAGGAGGCAACTTAGCCCATTACTACCACAGGTCAATGATCTCTCAACAAACTGGGAAAAGTTATAAATATAATGGGTTTTGCACGAAGGAAATTGGGCAAAAAAGAACGAAAGGGGAAAACCAGTGACAGGGTGATTGTAAAGAAGAGATTAACTAATTGAAGAGGTAGCTATGTGGGACTAAAGGAAGATTCTTTACTTGTTCCATTACTGTATCCTTTGGCTTCATGTGACTAACCTTTCTGACAGTATATTTCTCCTGTTAAGCCTATATGAAGTTTGCATATAGTATTCTTGGCTTCATTGATAGGGGCGTAGCATACAACAGCAGGCAGATTATGATGAATTGACATAATATACTGGTTTGACCTTACCTGGAGAAATGTGCATAGTTCTGAGCACAAAACTATAGGAAGGATGCGAATGCATTGGAGATAGTGCAGAAGAGATTTATGAGAATGGTTACAGGGATGAGACACTATAGTCTTGAGGATTGATTGGAGAAGTTGGGACTTTTTTCGATGGAGAGCAGAAGGCTAAGAGGAGATTTGATATGATCTCTCAATATCAGGTGAATTCATCATGGACAACAGATATGGTAAGCTTTGGATATGTCTTCACTAAGGAGGACATAAATAATCTTCAGAAAATGTTAGGGGGCAGAGGGTCAAGCATGAAGGAAATCCTTAATAGTCAGGAAATGGTATTGGGGAAAGTGATGGGATTAAAACCCGAAAAGTTCCCAGGGCCTGGTGCTCTGCATCCCAGAGTACTTCATGAAGTGACCCTAGAAATAGCTGATGCATTAGTGATTATTTTCCAGCATTCTATAGACTCTGGAAGAGTTCCAATGGACTGGAGGGTAGCTATGTAACCCCACCCTTTCAAATAAAGGAGGGAGAGAAAAAATGGGGAATTATAGGGTGGTTAGCCTGACATTGTGGTGTGGAAAATGCTGGAGTCAATTATTAAGAATGTAATAACTGAGCATTGGAAAGTGGTGACAGAATCTGTCCGAGTCAGCATGGATTCACGAAAGGGAAATGATACTTGACAAATTTTCTGAAATTTTTTGAGAATGTGACCAGAAAACTGGACAAGGGTGAATCAGTAGATGTTGTGCATCTGGACTTTCAAAAGAATTTTGAAAAGGTTCCACACAAAAGACTAGTAAGGAAAACTAAAGTTCATCGTTTTTGGAGGTGTTGAAGTGACATGGCTAGAGAGCTTGTTGGCAAACAGGAAGCAGAGAGTTGGAATAAACCAGTCCTTTTCAGAGTGGCAGGCAGTGACAAGTGGGGTACTGCAGGGTCCAGTGCTGGGACCCGCACCTGTTCACAATATACATTAACAATTTGGGCAGAGTAATTGAATGCCGTATCTCCAAATGTGCAGATGACACTAAGCTGGGTGGCAGTATGTGCTGTGAGGAGGATAGTAAGGGGCTGCAGGTTGACTTGGTCAGGCTGGCCGAGTGGGTGAATACTTGGCAAATGCAATACGATGTGGATGAATGTGAGGTTATCCACTTTGGTCACAAAAACAGGAAGGCAGATTATTAACTGAATGGTAGAAGTTTATGAAAAGGTGAGGTGCAATGAGACCTGAAGGTTGGCATGCAGGTGTAGCAGGTAGTGAGAAAAGCTGAGGAGCATGCTGGCCCTCTTAGCGAGAAGATGACAGTATCAGAATAAGGATGTCTTGCTGTAGTTATACAGAGCCTTGGTGAGACCACACCTTGAGTATTGTGTGTAGTTTTGGTCTCCTAGTCTGAGGAAGGACATTCTTGCCATTGAGAGAGTCCAGTGAAGGTTCACCAGACTGATTCCCGGGATGGCAGGACTGACATATGGCAGGACTGACATATGAGGAAAGACTAGATCGACTGGGCTTGTATTCACTGGAATTTAAAAAAATGAGGGGGGATCTCATAGAAACATATACAATCCTGATGGGACTGGACAGGCGAGATGTGGGAAGAACATTCCCGACATTGGGGAAGTCCAGAACTAGGGGTCAAAGTCTAAGGATAAGGGGTAAGCCATTCAGGACCGAGATGAGGAAGAATTTCTTCACCTAGAGAATTGGAAACCTGGGGAATTCTCCTCCACAGGAAGATGTTGGGGCCAGTTCATTAGAAATATTCAAGAGGGAGCTGGGCATGGCCCTTGTGGCTAAAGGGATCAAAGGGTATGGGGAGAGGGCAAGAACGGGATACTGAGATTGCATGATCAGCCATGATCATATTGAAAGGTAGTGCAGGCTCAAAGGGCCGAATGGCCTACTCCTGCACCTATTTTTTGTTTCTATGAGGGGCCTGGGCAGAATGTGCGGCAGAACTATTCCCACTCATAAATGGATCGAGAATGAAAGGGCAAGTGTCGAAGTGTTTTACAAAAGAAGCAAACTTTAGGGGAGAAAATACTTTATCACACAGAGTTGATAGAGTCTGCAATGTACTGCCCAGAAGTTTGGTGGAAGTAGGTTCAACTGGGCATTGGAACAATGTTGAGGGGAATAGGCCGGAGATTGGTACTAAGTTAAAATGCTCAGAAAGCCAGCGTAGATACAATGGGATGTAACAAGTCTGTGGTTCGGTGAAAAAATATGACTTTGTCTCCAAATGGTGTACTGTATACTCAGCCTCACAGTTTAGAAAGGACATGAAGACTTCAGAGAGACCACAGAACAGATTACCCAGATTGCTTTCATGGATGAGAGACAGCAGTTGCTGGAGCAGTTGATGTTGTTCTCTATGGAGGATGGGAAGATTATGAGAAGATTTAATGCTATTTAAACCAAGAAAGGTTTAGATAAGATAACTGAAAAGAAATTGTTTCCAATGACTGAATTGTTACAACTAAAGAGGACAACTCCCTAATTTTTTCAAAATTCTAGATGTGGGACCCAAAACAGCTCACAATATTTCAAATGCGGTCTGACCTGAGGCTTACACAACCTCAGCAGTACACCCTGGCTCTTGTGTTCTCGCCCTCTTGAAATGCTAACATTGCATTTGCCTCCCGAACAGCCAATGAATCTGCATAAGAATCCTTAACTAGGACTTCCAAGTCCCTGTGTGCTTCAGATTGCTGAAGCAATTCCCCATTTAGAAAATAGTCAATGCTTCTTTTCTTCCTACCAAAGTGCATAACTTCACACTTTCCCGACATTGTATTCCATCTGTCAATTCTATACTCACTCTCCTGGACTGCCCAAGTCCATCTGCAGCCTCGCCGCTTCCTCAACACTACCTGTCCCTCCATTTGCCTTTGTGGCATCTGCAAACTTAGTGACAATGCCCTCAGTTCCGTCTTCCAGATTGTTCGTGTATAACGTGAACAGTTGTAGTCGCAACACTGACCCCTGTAGGACTCCACAAGCATTGCAAAGTTGGGTAGAATACTTGTGAATTGGGAGGCAGGAAGTTAGAATTTGGTGATTGTAAAATGCTAAGGGGGGGAAATCATTACGTGGTCCCTTTAAAAGATCGTGTCTTTTTTCTGTGCTTAGAGATTTAAAGTGGATGTCTGTGATCAGCAGTTTCAAAGTTTGCAAGTACACAGAGAGCACCCAAATTGAACCATTTGTATCGAAAGACAGCACAGTCAGCAGGCCAAGCAGCAGCTTTTTGAATTTAGACAATCAATTTGAACTAGGTACTTAGAAACCAAAAACCTATTAAATTTGACTGATGGCTTTGACAACATAGGGCCAATTCTATTGTAAGAAATATTGATATGTCATCAAGGGCGTAAAAGAAAGGGGCAGTTGCAAAACGACCCCAGGGCTAGCTGCCATCTGCGAGAGCTAAAGGCCATCAGCTCTTAAGAGGGATAGTAGGAACTGCAGATGCTGGAGAATCCGAGACAACAAGGTGCAGGGCTGGATGAACACAGCAGGCCAAGCAGCATCATAGGAGCAGAGACTGCTTTTAAGAGGGAATCACTGGCTCCCACAGCCTCCTCTATGTCTTAGAGAAAGCACTATTTAAATAACAATTGTAGCAACAACACAACTAGTTAAATATTCCCGACAGAAGAATCGACGGAGAAGACATTCCTGACAGAAAAACTGACAGGGAAGGCACAACATTCTGGAAGACATGTAACCTGGATATAATTTCAAGAGACTAAATTTTTATACATATATGTAAATGGGATTTGTATTTATTGGAACAGCATACCATTAGAATATTGCTTTATTTGGGAATAGTTAGTAGTTAGAAGGGATTTATTTGGTTTGTTAATAGTTCAGTCAATTTGTTCACTGTTAGAGTTAGATAAATAAATTGTTATTGTTGATTTTAAAGTGAGTGTCAGGGATTTATTTTATTTAACTACTAGAAGTTGCTGAAAAGCAGGTTATACCACTTTTTACACTCCTTTTACAGATTATAGGGCGAGGTGCTCCTCTTTGGGTGTTTTGGTTTTAGTTTGGGGGGGGGGGGGTCAACCTCCACTTTATAATATAGTCACCGGCTGCCATCCTGAAAAATACCCCTTTATTCCCACTGTCTGGCTTCTGCCAGTCAGCAAATCCTCTATCTATGCCTGTACCCTTCCTGTGATCATGGCCTCATCTCATTTAGCAGTGTTGTACCTTGTCAAAAGCCATCTGGAAATCCAAACAGATCATGTCCACTGGCTTTCCTTTGTAATAATTTGCTTGTTACCTCCACAAAGAATTAACAGATTTGTCAGGCATGACCACCATTTGATGAAGCCATTCTGACTCAGCCCTATTTTACCATGCACTTTCAAGCAATCTCATCCTTAATAACAAACTCTAAAATCTTACCAACAACCAGATCAGGCTAATCAGCCTATAATTTCCCATCTTCTGCCTCACTCCTTCTTAAACAGGGGTACTACATTTGTCATTTTACAGTCATCTGGGACCTTACTGACTCCAGTGATTCCTGAAAGGTCACCACCAATGTCTCCGCAATCTCCTCAGATATCTCCTTTGAACTCTGGGATGTAGTCCATCTGGTCTGGGTGATTTGTCCACATTCAGACCTTTCAGCTTCCCCAACACCTTCACCTTAGTGATGGCTACTACATTTACCTCTACCCCTTAACTCTCTTGAGGTTCTGGTATGCTGCAGGTGTCTTAAACAGTGCAGACTGATCCAAAGTAACTATTCCGTTCCTCTGCACTTCATTGTTCCATTGTTCCTCATTATTACTTCTCTAGTCTCATTTTCCAAAGGTACAACATCTACCTTTGTCTCTCTCATCTTTTTATGTATCGAAACAATCTCTTTTATAATGCTGGCTAGCTTACTCTCATATTTTATCTTCTCCCCCATTTTGCTTTTCTGGTTGTCTGCTGCTGTTTTTTTTTTTAAAGAAGTTTCCCATTCCTTGGGCTTCCCACTACTCTTCACCATGTTGTGGGCTTTTTCTTTTGCTTTTATGCTGTCCCTGACTATCCTTGTCAACCATGGTTTCCTTGTCCTCCCCCACATATATTTCTTCTACCTTAGGATGAATTTCCACTGTGCTTTCTGAAATACTCTCAGAAACATCTGCCAATACTGCTCTACCATCTTCTTCAAATCAATTCTGGCTAGCTCCTCGTGTCTTTTGTCGTTATCTTTCCTCATTTACAATACCATTAAATCTGATTCCAACTTCACCCTCTGAAACTATGGGCCTCATACTGGCCTGCCCTGGATCTATTACAGAAATTACAGTAATGGGCCTCACAATGGCCTGCCCTGAGTCTATTACAATTATTAGAGTAACGAGCCTCACACTGGCCTGCCCTGGGTCGAAAACAGATATTGGAGTAATGGGCCTCACACTGCCTCGGCCCTGGGTGTATTACAGATATTACAGTAATGGGCCTCACACTGCCCCGGCCTGAGTCTATTACAGTAATGGGCCTCACACTGGCCTGCCCTGGGTCTATTACAGATATTACAGTAATGGGCCTCACACTG